CGCGTGCGACTCCCCATCAATGCAATAGTATGCCTGCGCGCAAAGCACTCAACATCCGATGGTCGAACATGCGCGCAATACTGGACCGGAAGTCGAGTGAGTGCACTGAGCGACGCACTGCAGTGGTCGCGATGGGACTGGCGCATTGCATAATGGATATTGCGGCACTCATTGAGACTCGGCTCACTGATCAAGGTAAGTTGCAGCAAGCAGGTGGCGGCTACACGTTCTACTGGGTGGGCAAGGCAGCCTCAGCACCACTTGAACATAGGGTCGTATTGTGCAATATCCGATCGAATAAATGGCCACCTGGGGGTGAACAAACAGGCATCAGCGTGCGACTGACGACTGCTCGTCTACGACTCGGAAGAGGTGAGTTTGCCACTTCATAAGCAAGTAAAGGTCCGACCAAGTGTAATCCTGATGATACGCGTGATCAATTCTATACTCAGCTATCATCCGTGATACGGTCGGTACCGAGAAGCGACCAGCTATTTCTGATAGCTATTTTAACGCGCGCGTTGGACGTGATGCATCGGTGTGGACAAATGTTATCGGTCCGCATGGCATCAGTTCAGTGAATGCAAATGGTGGCAGGCAGCTCTCACTGTGTGAAACTCGCGGCCTGACGATCACGAACAGTCGGTTTGCACAGAGTGCGGGTGATAAGGCAAATTGGATGCAACCACGAAGTGGTCACACTAACCTGTTCGGTAATGTCATCGTACTTCAGCGTGATATGCGTGAAGTGCGTATGACACGTGTAGTGTGTGGAGCTGAGTGTGGCACTGATCACAAATTGGTGTGGACCAAACTGTACATATATTTTCGTAAATCTGTGTTTTGCACTCCCGCCGTGAAACGGCGTAAATAAAACATTAACTTCCCCGGCACTGTGGCGAAAAGTATTGAGCTAGAAAAGGCGATAGTTGCACGCCTGTGTGATGTGAAATTCATCGCCACGGTTGGTGACCTGACTCATCATATTCGCGACAAGGTGACCACAACTGCCGATGAGACCATCGGGTGCGCGAACTGTAAGCGACCTGCTTGGTTTGATGAGAACCATGAAACGATTGGCGCATTGGTGTCGGAGAGGAATGCAGCATTTGCTGCACCTGTGGCAGACCCCAGTGATTTAGGGAAGAATAGACAGTTTCGCAAACTTCGGCGGCGACTGACCCGAAAGCTCCATAGCAGAAAAAGGCATGTTGAAAGTAGAAGCCGAATCGGATGGAATGCCACGTCGAATGCCACCAACAAAAGGAATTCCTTTATTGCATGTACGCCATGTATGGACCGAGATTGTCGCCACTGAGGAAGCTCATCGATGGTAGTTTAGCTGGTACCTGCACACAGACTACAGACATAACTCAGCTCGAAGGAAATCCTTTTGACTGTCTCTTGAACAAACGTTCAGAGATGGACTGACTTTCGTTGAACGACCTCAAGCAGCACGATGTGAAGGCGGATCTGGCGGACACGCAGACATTGGATGAGAGGCAGAGAGCACTTGTTCAGTTTCGAAACAGCAAGGGTGCCGGTGCCGACGGGATCCCGCCTGAAGTATTGAAACACGGTGGACCGGCGTTGGTGACTGCGCTGCGCCACTTGATGCAACGCCTGTGGATTGAGGATGAGGTGCCTCCTAAACTGAAGGATGCCCTTGTACTACCATTGTACCAATGCAAATGGAGCAAGCAATGTTGTACTAGTTATCGTGGCACTAACATGCTGAGTTGAGTGGGCGAGGTGATTACACGAATCCTGCTCAACTGCCTCGTCAGTGAGGTTGTGGAATCGAACGTGCCGGAAGTGCAATGTAGATTCCGTTCGGGTCGCAGCACTAGAGATATGGTGTTTTCGGCTCGTCAGTTGCAGGAGAAGTGCAGAGAACGCCATCAGCCATTGTACTCGCTGTTTGTTGATTTCACCAAGGCATTTCATACGGTGAACCATGAGGCGTTGTGGATGGTGTAGGGTAAGTTTGGTTGCCCGCGTAATTTTGTAAGCTTAATTAAATGTCTGCACAGTGGTATGCGAGCGGGGGTGCAGCTGAGTGGGGAGACCTCGGATGACTTTGCATTTGTCACTGGTGTGAAGCAAAACTGCGTCTTAGCTCCTGCCCTGTTTAATATATATCTTCATGCGAAGTTGTCCTGTGCTTTTGATACTGCTTGTGATTACGGTGTTCGTGTAGAGCACCCTATTGATGGTGATTTCCTGAACATCCATCGTTTCGATGAGTGAACTCTAGTCTGTGAGGCAGTTATCCCTATTTTGCTCTTACTGACGACTGTGCGTTGTTTGCACACAGTTCTGAGGAGTTACATCACATGAGTAGTGCTCTGGCTTCGACAGTGCCCAACTTCGGACTCACCATCAACGCAACCAAGACTGTTTGTCTTTGAAAGAATTCACCCGGAATGGAGTCGTGGGCGTGCCCCGTATCTCCTTTTCCGACGAAGTCTTGGAAACCACTTCGAGATTTGGCTACCTTGTTAGCGCAATAGCAACCGATCAGCAGATTAGATGCGAGCTGCTGAGCCGCGCATCGAAGGCGGTTGCTATTTGTGGCAAGCTGGAATGTCATGTGTGGAACAATCACCAGCTCACTGTTTGGACGAACCTGCTGGTATACATGTCTATGGTGATGTATTTCTTCGATACTGCAACGGAATTTGGACGCGGTATTGGAAGGATGTCTGATATCTGGAGCGCTTCCATCAGCATCGTTTGCGCCGTATTATGTGCATTGGCTGGAGTGACCGAGTTGCAGACATGGAGGTGCACCGACGCAGTCGCGTGCATGCCTTGTGTTGCATACATCTGCTGAGACACCTGTGGCGGCTCGGGTCTATTGACAGTATGGATTCGACGCGGATGCCGAAGCAGATGCCTTATGGCCAACTGCTTACAGGGAAGCAACACTGGGAAAACCTAAATTACGTTACCGATACCTGAAAAAGGTGAGTATATTACGTTCTAATGTTGATTACAGGTGTTGGGAATCGAAGGCGTTTGTTGGGCATATATGACGAAAACTGATCACAAAGGCAGTTGCCGAAATACAAGAGAAAGACTACCTGCATTCAGAAGAGACATGGTAGGTGCGGAAGCGACGGACGCCGATGGGCTATACTTCATCTACGTCGACCTCATGGTGCTGTAGCACATACGGTCGTCAATGTCTGAGTCAGGTGGGTCAAGGGAGCCACGAGCGAAGCCAGTTGCGACTATCTTAAAAACTACGACGTGTCCTGTTGAGAATATCAGCAGAACAAGCGCAGCGTTTGTAGGTATGCTGCATTCGAGTTACTAACCGCGATTTTGTGTGCTGAGCTTCCTTATTTCAGGTGGTGTGTTTGCCATCTTGTCCTGATGATTATTTCCTTACCTTATTTTAATGTCTGTTTCAATGAAATAATAAACTGCGAATGCTGCTTAAACGGATGGCGTTTGACTTCGTAGTTTCCTCTAGGTTGTATCTGTTTCTAAATCTTTATATCTCCTATCTTAAATTTGCCGTGACTATGTTAAAATCCAGTTATCATGTCCGAATTTAGCGTCAAATCCGTACGGTGTATTCGTCCTGTCATTCATTATTTCATTTCATGTGATTGGCTGCTGCTTTACATCCCCGGTGTGGCTGCGCTTTTTGTGCATGTTGACAATGTGCCTAGCTGTCTGTTACTCACTACCTCGCCCATACTGGCTCTAGGAGACAGATGATCATTGCTAGATGGGACTGGGTGCCCTGTCCTTTTGGCCGTGTTAGGATCAAAGAATGGTTCCAGCACTCAGGGTGGAGTGGACTACGGCCCAACATCCATCTGTTGTGCAATTGAATCCCAATTACAGCATACCTGTTTTTGCCTTTGAAGTAGTGTGCCGGCTCCGTTAATGAAACTTGGGTACCATTCACATGCCTCCCGGTCTCATACCTTCTGGTTTGCACCGGATACGGGGTGTATGGTGCAGCGCGAACCACCCGTGGTCCCTATGTAGACGCAGGCTTCCTGTGACTGGCCACAGTTAGAGGCAAATTTGGAAACGGATGCCGCCAACCTCATGTTTGGATAGAGCGAGGAAGCGTGATATGGGGATACTAGAACCATTTTTATGTGCAGCTCTCATGGTAGCCCTCGTGACAATAAATGTGACTCATGCGAACCTCGAGTGGTGTTAGTTTTGGCAACTGTAGCTAGAAGATTTTGTTGGTCATCGGGGACCAGAATACTATAGCCAAAACACAAACTATTTCGTGGCATAGAAAGCAACTCTGAACATAGCTTTACTTTCTTTTGACCACGCCAGCATTTCCTTACAGGCGCTACCTATTTATTAATATAAAACATTTATATAGTTATAACTGGTTTTATATGAAGTCTCGTCTAGCGGCTAGGATTCCTAGCTCTCAGCCAATGGGCCCGGGTTCGACTCCCTGAGCCGGAGTACTTTTACCCGAGGCTAGGCATTACCCGAGGCGGGGCGCAAAAGATCGAACGGGTCCAACATGTTGCTACGGTCAGTTGGCTTGGTATGAAGACCGTGCGCGGCTCCGTCAGTAATGCTAACGCCAATGCTGCACTTACGAGGGCCATGCAGCACACGCGGACACAGATACAAACTTGTCGTGCCGGATATGAAATGTGTTCCCCACCCACTGTGCTTCGAAAGGAGAATGGTAAACATTTGGAACAGTTTGCCTGAACATGTGATTGAGGCAACGTCAATGCAACAGTTCAAAAGGTTGTTAGATTTGTTCTTTGCCACTATTCGATTCAGAGAACGACTGCACACTTACGATGATATATCACATTTATGAATCCTGAAATATCGTAAGTCGAATATTTAATTATTACATAAGAACAATAATGATATTCACGGTTGACAACTTTTATAACGTTTTTCACCATATTGCGAAAGAGTTGTACGCATCCATTTCTATTTGCACTATTCATTTACTCACGCAAAACTAGTTTCTCTAACAAGCTCACCTGCGGTCCTCTTGATATCATGAGGTTTGCCCTTGGTCGGCGTCTTATCCGAATTCAATGGAGACCCGGGCTGAGGCGCCGTTTCCGGTTCTTGCGCCGGTAAGCTTTCTGGAGCGAATGCAGTGCTTTCAATGCTATCCGTCGGTTGTTCAGTAGTTGGAATCTGAGTAAAGTATCACAGAATACTTGGTTGCCTCTTATGTTAGCATTTGAACTATGGAATCTTTTACGATTGGTATTAATGAGTCCTTGCTGAAGTAATTATTTGCAAGATGTCACTAGGGGTTAACGGTCCGGGATTTAATAATATATATTTGCCATTGGAAATTTTCGCAAACCTTAAAGATTAAGGTTTGCTATTTCAGTAAACATATATTTTGCAAGTTAAATACACTAGCTCTGTTGTCGTGTATCTCACGGGGCAATGCAATACAGTTAAATAGGTGTTTCCAATAAATGATCAAAAAAATAAGTTGTTACCTGAAAGAATTTAAACAATTATCATAAAGAAGTTTCTTTATACACCAGTCACAATTCAATGACTGAAAAAGGGTTAGAGACATTTATTTGAATGCAGGATATTACCATCTGACGGGCAGACATGATCATCAACCAACTGCAGGTTCATTCTCACACAGCATAATGAATGATCAGATACCCATTACTAGATCTAAGCATCCTGTCCACTTTTTCCCATTGTGCCCATGTTACCATCTGAGAATATTTAACAAAAAGCGTTCAAAATTACGTCTTGCTGTGTATTCGCTTCAACTACATTTCCTTTTGTGTAGAGCACAATCGTTCCCTCACTTGTTATCGTATATCCAGGAATAGTGTTGACTAGACACACATCCGTACTCATGCGGAAATAATGCTCATGCTGTCATTGTTTGTAGGCCTTCAATGGATAACCTTGCGGAAACACTAAGTAGAAAATAGAGATGTATAGCCATTGGATCTCTGACGGGATTATCTCAGTATGGACCTCATCGCGTATTCAAATCTACTGAAACCCACTTCAGTGATTTTGTAATTCGCAACGGACTATCTCACAGAATTTGTCAAGTATTTGCTTTTCCGGAACTCTGTGATCATTCGATATCGTATTGTGGCTATGTAAGCATTCCTGACTCAACTGCATGTGCAGCACCAAGTCACGACCACATCGTGTTTGCCCAGCCTATCCTGAGTAGAAGATTCAGCAATAATACCAAATACAACTTAGCTGTCTTTATGGATATGACAAATACCCCATGTGCTGATTGGCGAGTTGGTTGCACGTGACCGACTTGAAGGTTATAGAGACATACTCGATGCTCTTGGATGCTGCACCGTTAGCAATTTATGGCCGGACAGTTTGGCCAACTCCCACCCTCAACTCAGTGACAGGCAGCTATTTGGCTGCAGACAGCATCCAAGGAGAGAAACATTGGACTGTGTTTGTTTTTCGCGCACGCCCGAATGTCAGGCGATCGTTCTGTTAATAAATAATAAATAATAATGTGTCCGCTGCAAGCCGTAACGGCGTTCCCCTATCTTTCGATCACCACCAGTCGAAAGCGGGCTGTGTATACCGCGAGGACGCCCGCGCCCCTACGCGGATTCGAACCCGCGCCGCAAGAGTACGAGACAAGCTTGTTACCTAGGCTACGAGATTATGTCAATTGCATGAATAAAATTCTTTAACATTGCTTTGAAGCTATACATTATAGAAATAGTAAAATATATAACGTAAGTTAATATGGATATTGTGCCATCGGATTCATAGCGTAATAGAAGAGCGGGATGGGAATAAAAATGTAAAAGCAGGCAACGTTATTTGTCTATTTTTCCTATCACAGTCTTTGGATTGTTTTGGCAGTTTGTATTTTAGGGTTGGGACAAGAAACTAACGCAACACGCAAAGGTATACGTCCGGCACTGATCTCGTTCTTGAGATGCGATTTCTAGGGCCTCAAAACAGTGACACTCCCTATCTCCGAAATCCTAATCAGTGAGGCGAGAACAACCGACTGAGGCAATTTGTTTCGTCAGCTTTTTCAAGCCGCATCTTTAAGCCGCAGGCGGTCCATCGCGCTGCCTCTTCCAGCTGTGTCCAGAAATAACAATCAATGCACAACGAGGAAGATGCTGAGCAGGTATGAACAGTAAGTGTCCAAGCCACCGCAATTGACGCAGGGAGACGGGACTCCTCGAGCGTGTGGATGCTTCCACCCAAGACGAGTTATGTAGCTTCCATATCGGTTACGTGGTGCAGCCAGCACCCACGGGTAATAGACTGCAGGCATTGGTCCTCGAAGACAGATAGCCGGCGCAGGTACACCGTACGAACAGGCCAAGTCTCGCAAAGGTACAACAGTAAAGCGCGGGCAGACTCAAAATCAACTCCCAATAATAGAGCGAGAGCTACAATGGCGCCTCCCTTAGTGCCTCAGTTTGCAGAAATCCAGACGGCATTTTAAAATGCGCAACGAAATCTCTTCTCCCTTAGTCCCTAGCTGTGATGGAACTTCAGAAACATGCACTAAGTTAATCCAACCGTAATTTTCTACACATAATTCGGTTTTGTCATGCCTTCCACGTATCGCATTTTTTCAAGTTAAAACAAATAAAGAAATCTTTATAGACAAATCCCAGTTTCGAATATTCAGTGTTTCGGTTGGTCATAAATAGTTGTTTACAAAAATTATAAATATTGTTCGATGGAATTATTGTAACTTAACTTTCCACTTTCCACACTATGTTATGCACAAATAAACAGTATATTCCTTGACATTCCAACTTGTTTTTCTGGTAATAATGTATAACAGGATCGTATGAGATGGATGATATTTCTCACTTTGGATATTTATCTGTTTTTTAATTGCAGTTCCCTAACTATTTCGCGACGCTGATTACTTGGCTGCATCTTTCTAACAGATGAAAAGGTTGATGCTAATAGTTAACGCAGATCAATCTAAATGTTCTGGTAAACTAATACTGCTATCCGTTGTAGTCGTCTCCAGGAAAACTGCTTTCATACAAGCTATTCCCTCAAAAAGTTTCACCCATAATTCCATGTCTGTTCTGATGGTGCGCTGGGGCAGTTTCAAACAGGTTTGTGATCCAAAATTGTACTCATATTTAGGGCTCTACTTAATTGTACACACATGGGCATTTAGGCCATACATCCCGCCCCGTCAATCGTGTTTTGAGCCAACGCTTTTATTACTCGGCAGGGAATCGGTAGCATCTTCTCTCGCATGGAGTCATCTATTAGTTTGGAAGCTACAATCCGGCACCTCAGATGGTCGAGCCAGTCGTGGTCAACAATGAAATAAATAAGAACATGTGGAGCTAGTAAGGTAATTAGGATATTGATGTTAATTACGAATTGGTTATATTTAAATACCACCATTAAATGCCAACCGTTTTCATGATTAAATCGTGCGGTGAGATGACAGTAATAGGTGGGTGGTCCGATTACCTAAGGCACTTCTAAAAGCAATCTTCAGATTTATCCAATAATAGCATGCCTTCTCAAATTTTTCCGGTTCGAGGCATCACTGGCAGCCGAGGTATGTAGGGATTAACATTGGTGGATTTCATGAAGCACTAAGTACTTTTCTACTAATATCTCCGGAGAGAAAAGTAAAACAGTTCGAAGTACCAAAAACGGTTCCTTTATAAATGTATAGATGTCAAAATGATCGCAGACCATAGAAACATTCTTCAAAATTCCTCAGCGTTATCTAGATCCATAGTTTTCGTTTTGCATGGCTTAGTGTGGAATTTTTCTGTATTGTCGCGCCGCAGGATAGAACGGTTACTTTAGGCCAACATTAATTGATGCGTCAATTTTTTGAATACGAGAGATATAAGATGAAGATGACTGATACCATATCTCAGTTATCTGCCAGACCGTTTTCACATGCCAACTGTTCCGTGACACTTTGTCTCAGCAGCGCAGTGGTCTGTTCAACAGCTACCAAGCTGCGGAACGCATTGCGCAAACATTCAGTTGATGGATTATCTTTCAGCTTGGACAGCAGGCTATTCCACGTGTTTACGTAAACGTTCAGGTAGAATTTTGCACATGCCCGAGTTCTATGTCTGCAATTTTTGATGTGTTGTGGCTGTCAAGAACAATACCTTCGGCCAGTATTTGGATTTCTAATCCATGCTTAGGATATGAAGTCGCACGCGTATGATATCGAGTAGAAATATATAATAAGTTGCATTCCCCTGAGCTATGTCGGGTCTGATTTAAAGACCCTGCAGCGCTGTATGCAAGAGCTTTGAGAGACCGATCCCAGCAGACGCTTAATGAACGATCACCGCAACTTCTTGAGTAGCTGTCGATAAGGTTATCTTGTATTAATGTGGATAAATGCACATTAGTCTAAAAACGTTCTAGTTTTCTATCTGGTACATGATGGCGATGGAATCCTGCATTGTGAATCTTTTGAACGGTAGTCCAATGCTTCGAAGAGCTTTAGCAACTACATTTGCCGTGTGCACCACAAAGTTTAGTGAGCTAGAATAGTGCAGATCTAAGTATTTTAATAAACGGTTACACATTTTTGCTTTTCCTCACAGAACCAGACTGCCAGATGCGATTGTACAACGAAATAGTAGGGCATTGGACTTTTCGACTGAGAATAGCATATCCCATTTGGCACAACATAGCTCAAGGACTACAAAGCCCGATATAACGAGTTCGTGGCGTGGTTGATGTCACTAACATCAAAGGTGTAAGCAATTTTCACGTCAACAGCAAGCAAGTATGAGACACCGCAGTGTATTGTGTCAAATTTATCGTTAGTATGCAATATAAAGAGTAGTGTGCCGATAATGCTGCCCTGAACCACTCCAGTCTTCACTGGTCTAGGCTGTGAATTTTGATTATTTATCCTAACTACCTGCATTCGGTACGAAAGTTTTAACTTGGACCACGATAAACGTAGGTCGCTGATTCTAACTGATGCGCTTTTATTTATAAGCTTATCGTAAGATCAAATGCTTTCTGCTTGTCTAAGGAGATCACTACTAGCGATTTCCCGCAGTGTAACGAGAGCATAGGATTGTTGTGAAAGGTAAATTGCACAGGAGCGTATCTTATTCAATGTTCTCCGCAGTACTTGTCAATCCCAGAGGTCTACCATTATTTTCACAGGTATTTTT